AAATAGTGGATTAACATCCGGCTCCGTTCATCAATGGTGTGGTAAGTATGATTGCCAACATTAAGGCAGAACCCCAATTAATCCAACAGATTCAATCGGCACAAAAGAAAGACCCTCAACTTATAACAATTGTAGAAGAGGTGAAGCAAGAAAAGAGAGACAAATTCTATATATGTAGTGAGGATTTGCTAAGATTCAAAGGTCAGATTTGAATGATGAGAGTATGAAAAAAACTATATTGGAAGAAGCATATCACTCTCGTTATACGATACATCCCGAAAGAATTAAAATGTATCAGGACCTGAAGAAAACCTTTTGGTGGAATAATATGAAAAAAAAGGTAGCGCTATTTGTGTCTAAGTGCCTAACATGCCAACAAGTAAAAGCTGAACATCAAAGGCCCGCTGGGTTGTTGCAGCCTTGACCCGTGCCAGAGTGGAAGGGGAAGCACATCTCTATGGATTTTGTCTCTGGCTTGCCTAGAACAAATTCAGGACATGATAGCATTTGGGTCATTGCAGACCGGTTGACCAAAGCTGCCCATTTTCTGCCAATTCGCACAACATATACTTTGGATCGATTGGCTCAGTTGTACATTAAAGAAATAGTGCGGTTGCATGGAGTTCCGGTCAGTATTGTATCGGACAAGGATACTCGGTTTACTTCTAAATTTTGGGCTAGGCTACAGTCAGCCATGGGGACAAGACTCACCTTTAGCACTACCTTTCATCCCCAAACTAATGGACAATCGGAGAGGACCATCCAAACTTTGGAAGATATGCTGAGGGCCTGTGTCATTGACTTTACAGGAAGCTGAGATGACCATTTACCCCTGATTGAATTTGTTTATAATAATAGCTTCCAAACCAATATCCAGATGGCACCATATGAAGCCCTGTATGGAAGGAAATGCAGGTCACCCATCTGTTTGGACGAGGTTGGTGAAAGGAAGCTTTTGGGGCCAGAAATTATCCAGATAACCACAGATAAGATAGCATTAATTCGAGAAAGGCTCAGGACAGCTCAGAGTCGGCAAAAGAGTTATGCCGATAACCGAAAGAGAGATCTTGAATTTGAAGAAAGTAATCGAGTTTTCCTAAATATCTCACCAATAAAAGGCATTATGAGATTCGGCAAGAAAGGAAAGCTCAGCCCACGTTACGACGGACCATTTGAAATCTTGGAAAGAATCGGAGGTATCGCTTATAAACTTGCCTTACCACCCGAATTGGCAAACGTCCATAATGTCTTCCGTGTATCGTCACTGCGAAAATATCAGCCTGACCTATCCCATATCTTGAAATACAAACTTTACCGATCAAGAAGGACCCATCCTTCATTGAGCAACCAATTTTGATACTGGATAGAAGGGCGCAAGTGTTGCGCAACAAGGAGATTCCTTTAATCTGTATATTATGGCAGTACCATTCAAGAGAAGAGTCGACTTGGGAACGAGAAGACGATATCAGAGAAAAATATCCCTATCTTTTTCAGTAATCAGGTACACAAATTTAGAGGACTAAATTTCTTGAAGGGGGGAAGAATGTAATAATTCTAAAATTCCAAAAAAAAAAAAAGGGGAAACTTTTATTAAGTGATGGTTTGTATGAGCATGAAGGTCCTTAGGGACCATCACTATTTTCAAAAGCTTTTGGTTTAAAGCTTTTACTGCCTTGCTCTTGCCACGTCCACTAAAGGACGTGGGCTTTAAGCGTTTAAAGTGTAATTTAACGGTTACACCTCATGTGTGAGGTGTAACTTAATAAAATAATATAATATATTATCCTAAGAATTTAAATACGAGAGGCGAGGACTCCCACCCTAGAAAATTTTGAGATCTCTCTCTCTAGCCGAATTTTTATCGGAAGCTCCCTCTCAAATATTTTAGGTAAGTGACTTCATTATCTTGAATAATAATCCATTCTTTTTAAAAATGAAATGAAATAATTATTTCTGCTTATTATCATGAATTTTAAGCGCGATAAATTTTATGCGCAAGTAACCTCATTATTTTGAAAAATAATCTTTTTAATAAAATTATAATATTAGAAATTTTAAATGCTGTAAATTCTTAGAAATAAATTTATTTATGTATTTTTCTTGTCTATTGTTAGAAAATTTTAGAAATAAAATTATTAGAAATAAATGTGATATTTCTGCTGTTACTAAAATTGTGAGATTTCTTTCTACTGTTTTTTAATATTTAGACATTGTAAATTTCATGTGCAATGACTGCCTTATTATTTAAAAATTGATATTTTTGCAATTGATTATAGCATTGTTGTGAAATGTTTAATTGCGAATTGACATCTCATAAATTGTGATAATTTCGTATTCTTGAAATTCTATAAGAGTTTTTCTATACATATTAAACTGGCAATTATGCTAGAATGTCTTTACGAACTGCTACCTTTCTAAATTTGAGCCCAAAATATTTGATTGGTTATTTTTGAAATGTTATTGAAAGTGACTGTTATTAATGGTTTCAGCGAAATTCATATTAATGATTTCAGTGATATGTTGAGTACATGATATTGCTGCTTTCAAATGTTTTAAGAGATTTTGAATTACTTTAAGTATGCAAGTGGACTCATCCGGTTCGCCGATGAGGTTTAAGTGGACCTATCCGGGACGCCGGTAGAGATTAAGTGGACTCATCCGGTACGTCGGTGAGGTATAAGTGGACCTGCAGGGATTAAGTGGACCTATCTGGGACGCCGATAGGGATTAAGTGGACCCATCAGGACGCTGATGGGGTATATAGGTGACCTACTTGGGACGCCAATAGGGTATTTTGTGAAATCCTTTGAATTATGCACTGCCGTTAAAATGTTATATGCATTTCAATCATTTGAATTATATTTAATTGTGCATTTCTGAAAGTGATATTGTTATCTATAAATGCTTGTGCTCGCATTGTTTTTAATTGACCTCCATTTTGAAAGTTTGTTTATATCTTTCATCGATGATTATTTTTAGGATTATGATGATCACTTACTGAGTAGCCAAACTCATCAAACTATGGTAAACATTTTTCAGGAGAACTGCGGTTTCATTTTGAGTGCTCGTCAGGATCAACTTTGGAAGATATTGTAGTTGTGCCTAAGCTTTCTTTTGTTACTTTGTAAGAATTCGCCACTGTAAATTTGTCTTATCAATGAGATGTATATATGTTTTGACTGTCACATCTCAAGAATACCAGTATTGTAAATTCTTGGGGCGTGACAAGGCCACACATATTTTCATGGGACGAATCCCATGGATAGTTGTTTTTTAGTGCTTATCCATTTTTAAAAGATTTTCTTAAATGTAATATATAAAATAAATAATTATTTTCTCGATGTTTTTTCTAATGTTCATGTGAGATGGGGATAAGCATCCCTGAAATCTAGGATGTTGTTTCTCAGAGACCGGTTGAGAAATGGAAGTTGGGCCCCATTTTCTTTCCTATAAATATGGGAAATTAGAAAGAGGGAAAACACGACAAAAATTAGAGAGCCTCTTGGGTTTACAAAAAGCTTCTCTTCTCTCAAAACAAAAAAGGGTGCTTGAAATAAAATCCATGCTCTGCGATCACCAGCCTCGCGACACACCCCTCTCAGATCTCGGCTTGGTGCTCATCCTCGTTCCAATAATTTTACTTTCAAGATGAAGGAACGTAGAGACAAGGGCACATATGTAATCCTAGCAATTGTTTTATCCTAGATGGCTATGCAGACTGGGAGGCAGATGACCAAGCAAGTTAATAACTGAGCATCTCCCAAGACTTCCAACCTTGAGGACAAGGTTGATTTGAAGGAGGGTGGAATGTTAGGAAACGGTAGGTTAGAACAAAGGGATTAGCCTAGCTAGAATTAAAGGATCAGCAGCTTGGGTAGTTAACTTATCTAATTTTAATATTTGAATAGGATTTCTTGATTTGGTAGTTTCTTAATTAGAATATTGTATGGGAGTGGATTTGGGGAATGCCTATATATAAACGTGAGTCACAATAAGAAAGAAGGCATTGTGTTTTTGCCCCTAATCTCTGTGTGCAGCACAAGGAGGAAGAAACACCTCAAAGAGGATCAAACCACCACCACCCCTTTCTATCATTCTCATTGCAAGTAACCATATTTTCCAGTAACATGATAACATGCTGGTCATAGCAGGGGATCATTCAGCATGCGATAAATTCTTAAGCTAGGTGTTCCATAATGGACCCAAAAAACAATTCTATTCAAATCAACTCTGGAAGGGCGTCTCATGCAACTTTAGATCCAAAGGAGAAAGGGAAACTATGTCTGCAATTTAAACATTAATTCACTTTGAGGCTTCATAAATAAAATAAACAAATAAAGGAAAATTATCATACATATACCTTTATTTTCGTCTAATTGGAAAAAACCCTCAACATTCATAAATTTTTTGACATTTTCTAGACCAAAATAGCTTCACAGTAGTAGTTTTATTGTGAAGCCCTAGCATTACCGTACCTTAAGTACCGTAATGACTACCTCATTTTATACGAGGTTTTAAATGCCTGAAGTATTTTAAATGCCAAAACTGAGGAAAAAGGGTATGGCCGAGGTTTATGAAAGTTAAGGGTCTTTTTTTAATTTGTCAAAAATTAAGGTATATTTCTCATAATTTCTCTGAAGTAAAAGAGTCGCATTGTACAAAGATTGAAATTTTCCTCAGTCAAGCTTGTTCTTAAAAGAAGAGGATTCCCAATAGATGAACCAAATCAGCAAGTGACCAAATATAATTCCACAACACAAATTCAGAAGAAACTAATCGAAATAAAACCCCAGTTAGCAACAAATAGTCAAATAATTTCAATAGAGAGCTAGAAAACCAAGAAACTCTTGAGCAGAATACAGAGATTGATTCAAAACAAAATGTATAAAGAGACGCACAGATAGAAAAATAGATATCGATCTCGTATAGCAAACAGGAAACGTACAAATTCCATGAAACAATGAATCAAACCAGAACAACCCACAGAAATATGATCTAACCTGTGCCTTATCAGCAAGCTGAACAACCAATCTACTAACAGGGAGAGGCGACTCATAAACAAACGTATGGTTTATGCACTCGGACCTGAGATACCTCGAAAGAACACGACCATCAGCAGTGAGACCAGCAATTGCTATCCCAACATGGTCATCAACCTTAAATATCTTTCTCTGGTGAGAAGAGAGCTCTGAAGCCGCCTTATTAACACTTGCCAAAACCACATGCTTCGAAGATCTGAGGCCAATGGCTGCGCTCCCTTGCTTCACAGCTTCCATGGCATATTCGACCTGAAAGAGCCGGCCAGCTGGGCTCCATGTCGTGACATCTGTGTCATACTGGTTCCTAAACATGGTTCTGGTTTCAAGTAGTCGAGAATGTAGAGAGAGAAACCCTAAAAAAAGGTCTTAATGGAGTTCAAGAAAAACCCGAGAGAGAGGAAGGGGAAGTGAGAGAAACCCTAAATGTCGAAATTAAGAGGAATAAAGAATGGAAGCTGCAGAGGGCCTTTTTATAACGAAGACAACATAAAAGTGGGAAGAGGTGATCGGACGTTTTCTTCTTCTGCAAGTGAGGGAGGGAAAGAGTGTCGTTTACCTATGGGTTTACTTGTTTAGAATAGAGGATAATTTCTTCAAGGGCACTTTTTTTATAGGAATTTTCTTCCCAGTAACGAAAAGTTTATATAGAGCCGAGGCTCTAAACATCCTATTTGAGCTATTTTCGGAAGAGGTTCTTTAGATGCCTAAATATCCTCAAATAGATCATCTCGAAATCGCGATGCATAGACATAGATTAAAATGGATTTCATATTTTAAAAATTATGTATTTTGTAATATATTTTTGGACCGTTAATTTTTAAGTTTTCATAATCAATACTATTTTTTAAGCTTTAAACTTTATAAATAAAAATAAACATATAGTTTAAGGCTATCACAAATATTTTCAATATTAAAACTACATTTTTCGATACTATTTGAAAGTTGGCTCTAATTTGATTGTTTAGAGCCTAAGCCCTATACAAACCACACCCTTCTTCTCCTACCGACCTTCCACTTTTGAAAAGGGTAAATAGAGTTATTCCCTTTCTAAAAAAAAAAGAAAAGGCGACATACACTGCCCTAATTAAACAAATTAGAGCCCACCTCAAAAATTTCACTAGAAGAGGTTGTTTTGATGCTCAATATTCTCATTTTGATATCAAGATGCATGGACATGAGAAAAAAATAGATTTTAAATTTTGAAAATAGTATATCTTGTAACGCATTTTTTTACTCTCCATTGTAAAAATTTTCTAGTTGTTCATAGGTATGCTCGACCTACACTATTTTTTAAGCTTTAAATTTTATAATTAGACATGAAAATGTATTTTTAGGCTATCACAAAGATATTTATATTGAAACCAATATTTTCAATACTATTTGAAGGTGCGCTTTATTTAGATTGTTTAGAAAGAAAAACACACCTTCAAATTAGTGCCGAGGAATGTGGTTTCAATACTGGAAATCTTTGTGATAGCCTTCAAATATGTTTTCATCTTTAATTATTAAATTTAAAGCTCAAAGAAATAGTGTGGATCGAGCAGATCTATGAAAACTTAAAAATCTTAAAAATTGACGGTCTCAAAATACATTTCAAAATGCACTATTTCCAAAACTTGAAATCCATTTTTTTCTCATGTCCATGTATTTAAATGTCAATATGATCAATTTGAGGATATTTGAGCATCAAAACAACCTTTTCTAGTGAAATTTTTGATATGTGCTCTAATTTGATTGTTTAGAGCCTCGCACTTATAACTTTTTCCTTTTAAAAAAAAAAAACAATTTCATAAAGCTTTTCATCTCTCTCTTCTTCTTTTTATGGTTTCATCCTGCCCACCGCATCATTTATTGAAAATTTAATACATTCTTCCTTTCATTCACATTCTCTCTCTAAAGAATATAAGAGGATGCAAGAATGGGGTTGGGTTTCCAGAGAAAATTTGTGAAAGGAGCAAAAATGAGCTAGGTTTTTATAGAGAAAATATGGGAGGCAAGAATGGAGTTGATCTCTAAAGTGAGTGTAAGTAGAAACAAAAGTTAAAATTGCAGAGAGAATATGAGATGAGGAAGGAATTAGGTTGGATTTCTATAGAAAGAATGTCATAGTGGAGATGAACATGTTTGATGTTTAGAAAGAGAATGTGAGAAGAAGGTATATTGAATTAGGTTATTGGAGACAGAATATGGGAGAGGAAAGAGTTTAAAAAATTGGGTTCTTAAAAAAGTAGGGAAAAGGGAGGGAAGAAACCATCAAAAAAAAAAAGTGAACACAAATGAGGCCACAGGAATTTGTTTTTAAAAGATGGACAAAATGATCAACTTACTCCTCTAAAGAAGTTGGGGAGCGAAACTCTAAAATAAATATCCAATGAGTCTAATGTCTTAAAAATAAAATATATAAGTTTTTTTTTTTTCTTAAAAAACCCTTTCCTGAACAAGTTCTCGTGTTGCGCTACTTTGGTCTGAAGTGAGTTTTCTTTTCCTTCTTTGTTTTTTTCCTTTTTTATTTCCTTTTATTTTTATTTATTTTTGGTAATTGAGTAGGCGTGGCCCCCTATCCTTGGTATCGTAGAACTGAGCCAGTTTTATTTGGTTATTGTGTTACTTTTGTAGAAGTACTATCAGGTTAGCAACATATCGGGTTAGGTCATGTCAACCTCGGCCCTGTCCAACCTGACCTGATTGTCACCCCTTGAATTAGATAAGGATTGCAATTGGTCGTGTCGGGTCCAGGTCTTCACCTGACTAGGTTTCACCCAGACTTGGCTTGGATCCAAGTCATTTGGACCTGAACGCAGCACAGACCTGTCTAATTTTTTAAAAAAAATATTTTATATTATGAGTATATTTAATAATAAAAGGACAAGCTTTCTATACTTCCCCTACAACATAAAACTTATATACTTACCCTTATCCAAACGTCCTTTTTGAATGGAGGGCTAAGATTGCCTCAATCACAATGTCACGTCTATACACTATTTTATTTTTATGTTTTTTCTATAAACTATTTTGATACCAAATTTTGGACATCCAATCCTCTATTAAACTCGCACTAGCAAAAAATATAAAAAAATATTTCCAATAAAATAAAATGATCAAAATACCCATGAAAGTTTAAAGGGGTATTTTGGTCATTATATTTTATCAAAAAAATATTTTTAATATTTTTTATAGGTGCGTCCCAATGAAAAGATGACACATACCAAATTTCATATTCATACAATTTGTATTAAAAAAAATACAAATAAAATACTTTGAGATATTGGATCTAAGATCAAACGGTGAGTGGCTCTCTTGATCAAAATTGGACGGTTGGATGATAGGGGAAGCATAGATCTTCTATGTTGAAGGGGCAATATAGAAACCTTTCTCATAATAGAAATGGTGGTAGGCATAAAAGCAGACAAATATTTAAAAGATAAAACAATTAATGTGAATAGGTGATAAACTATCATTAGATAATTAACGTAATTAGTACTTATGCATCACAAGTAGGATTAGATGATCGAATTAGGAGATAATTTTAGGAGGACATAGATGGAATACTCCAAAACATACCAAATGGAGAAATGATATTTTTAGAAGGGGACTAAATGGTCATGTAGGGACTGATAATGGAATATATAAAGGGATATATGGGGGATATAGTTTTGGGGAAGAAAATGAGATGGATGAGGTTATTGTAAATTTTGCTATGGCCTACGATCTAGATATAACAAACGCTTACTTTAAAAAGTGAGATAAACATATAATAACCTATGAACATGACCACATAGAAACCTCTTCCTAGTTAAGAATGTAGATCAACTGTCATATAAAGATTGCAAGGTTATGAGACAGATTGACTACCCAGCGTAGTGTCATAGTTATAGACGTCTGTATAAAGATATGGAAGAGAAAGGGTTGAAGTAATGGGTGTCTAAGAACTAGGTGTTGGAATTAAAAAAAATGAGAAAATAGACTTATTTAGGGACAAATGAGCTGAAGAAGAAAAATGAAATTTTGAACATGATGTAAATGTAATATGGAACGAGATGGCTGACTGTATAAAGAAAGTGGCAGTAGAAGTTTTAAGAGAATTTAGAGGGGGAAAATCTCCGATATGAAAACTTGGTGGTGGAGCAATGAGGTTCAGAGGCCATTAGAGAAAAACAATTATGTTGTAAAACTTGACAGTATAATAGAAACAATCAAAACTTAAAAAAATATAAAAATGCTAAAAAAAACACTAAACAAATAGTAAGTAAAAGCTAAATTCAAGGTATATGACAATTTATAAAACTAACTAAGAACAAGATAAGGTGAAAAAGATATTTTCATATTAGAAAAAATAAGATAGAAAAAGTGTAGGGATGCATTGAGAGTGATGATCAAAGGGTTTTGGCGAAGGATGACGAGGTCAATAAAAAGTGGTGAGTTTATTTTAAAAAATTATTAAATGACAAATATAATAAGAACAAGAGCGGTATAAGGAAATATTGGTACAAATGAGGGCGAACATTCGTAGGATTAGGATGTCAAAAGTAAAAGAAACTTTGAAAATAATGAAGATAGGAAAGGCTTTAGAACCAGATGGTATCCCGATAGAGGTTTGGAAGTGCATGGAGGAAATTGACATTAACTGGTTGACGAAGTTGTTTAACAAGGTATTGAGAACAAAGAAAATATCAGACGGATAGAGGAAATATATTATAGCACCTATTTACAAGAACAAATGATGAATACATAATTGTGCGAACTATTAAGTGACAGTTTATGAGCCATACTATGAACCTCTGAGAGAGAGATTAAGCAACGACTAAGGATGGAACGAGTGTATCTGAAAACTAATTTGATTTTATGCCAAGAAAGTCAACAACTGAGACTATTTTTCTACTTGGGCAACTGATTGAGAAGTTTAGGGCGAAGAGAAAAGACTTCAACATGGTTTTTATTTATATAAATAAAGTTTACGATATAGTAACTTGATATTTGATTTGGTGGGTATTGGAAAATAAATGAGTTACTAGATACTACATCAACTTTGTGAGATATATGTACAGTGGAGCTCTAACCAGTACAAACAACTAATGAGTTTTCAATAACGGGATCATCATTAATCCCATATCTCTTTGTCTTAACTACGGACAACTTAACCAGGTACCTACAGGATGAGGTATTGTGGTGCATGTTATTAGAAGATGACATGGTTTTGATCGACAAGTCTCGGAGCATCGTTAAAATAAAGTTAGAGCTTTGAAAGGATGCTCTAGAATCAAAATGTTTTAAAATTAGTCGGACTAAGACAGGGTATATGGAATGCAAATTTGGTAACAATAGAAGTAGAGACAAGGAAGTGGTTAACATTGAAGACCACGAAGTACAAAAACGATCGCATTTTCGATATCTTGGGCCGATAATCCAGGAAAATAGAAAGATTGAATAAAATGTTGCACATATAATTAGAGTTGGGTGGGCGAAGTGGATATGTGCAACTAAAATTTTATGTGGTCACCGCATATCAATGAAGCCGAAGGGCAAGTTTTATAAAACAGGTATGAGACTAGTTTTGCTCTATGGGGCAGAATGTTGAGCGGACAAAAAATAATATACCCATAGAATGAGTTTAGCGGATATCATGATGTTGAGATGGATGAATGTCAAGACAATAAAATATAGAATTTGAAACGAATAAATTCTCGAGAATTTAGGTGTGACACTAATAAATGATAATATGAGATATAATAGACTTAGGTGGGCTGGCCATATGTAGTGCTAAACAAATACAACACCTATTAGGAGGTGCGAGTTAGTTCACGTGAAAAGATTGAAAATGGCAAGGGGTAGGCTCAAAAGGATGTAGGTGGAAGTAGTCCGAAAAAATATTGGGACTTATGGCCGCATTGAGGGTATGACATTTAATATAGCAGAATGACGAATCGGGATTCATGTAGCCGGTCCCAATTGATTAGAAAAAGGCTATGATGATGATGATTGTGAGTACATTTTTTTGTTAAATAATTATGATAGTACTTATTTTATATAATTTATAGCAGGTCAGGACGAGTTTGGATCGACGTCGACCCTAGGATCCACACTAGATACAAACGCATACCCCTAGTCGAGTCCAAAATATGGACCTAGACCCATACCCAGTTTAGGTCGACCCGATTAGACTGCCACCCCATGAACTATGGCAAGCTAATTTCTTGAGCTAGTTTTCGATTACGTTTTTTTTTTTCTTTTCTAATTTTTTTGGTAGATTTGCAAGGAAATGGTTTTTTATATGACAAAATTGGAACTCGAGACATATGTGTACTACCAACCACCCTTACCACCGATATCTTTAGTCTTTGATTGAGTTTTGCTATGGGTGAGGTTTGTAGAGAGTCGAGGCTCTATAAAACGCACTTTCAAGTAGTATCAAGAAATATGGTTTCAAATTTTCAATACTAGAAATCTTTGTGATAGCCTTAAAATATATTTTTATATTAATTATAAAATTTAAAGCTTCAAAAATAGTGTAGATCGAGCGGATCTATAAAAATTTGAAAATCTTGAAAATTGACGGTCAAAAAATACGTTACAAAATGCACTATTTCCAAAAGGAAATTGTTCTATGTGGGTTGGACGACATGACTATATATGTGGTCCAAAAAGTGTAAAGCATTCTCTTGAATATGTATGCAAGTAGGTGTTTCATATAAAAATCCAAATGTTTTTTTACTAGAGTTATTATTTTTAGTTTTTAAATTTACTTATTTTTTCATATTCATGATCTCCATGTTAGAGATTACATATCTTTAAAAATTAAGTCAAAAAATCCATCTCAAAAATAGATTTATTAATAGGCCCACATTTCTACACATACGGGCTTGGCTGTATAGAAACCGGGTCCTTTTCAAAATTTGAAATCTATTTTTTTTTTCATATCCATGCATTTTGATGTTGCCAAAACAACCGCTTCTAATGAAATTTTGGAGGTGTGCTCTAAATTTGATTGTTTGGAGCTCGGCTCTATATAAACTGTTTCCTTTTGTTATTGCGTTCCTATGTATAAAGTTGGGATGTTAAATTTTTTTTACTCGAACTTTCCCATTTCATGAGTGGGATTGGCCATACTCGAAGTGCGGGTTTCGAGTTTAGACTTTCCACCAACTTTTCGAAGTGCGGGTTTCGAGTTTAGACTTTCCACCAACTTTTCGAAGTGGGATACTCCAAGTGCGGGTTTCTGTACATTTCACCCGTTCTCTCTCTCATCCTCTGCGACTAAGAGCTAGAGGAACCAGTGCGAGCAAGAGCAACCCCTGAGCGAGCCGCTCGATTAGTGAGTTATATGCAGATTTTCCATTTTTTTCTTTTTTACTAATTTGGGTGTCGGATCCTCTCAGGGTTTCCTAATGTAAAAAAATTTAGGGCTTTACTTATTTTCTCTGTTGTAAATCTGCCCCAAAAAAATTAGGGCTTTAAAAGTTACATTAGTTCGCTATTTTGTGGCTTGAATTGGGAGCCACGAAATTTCTGTTTACAGTATGGAACTGTCATTTCTGTCCTTCCATAAAGATATATATTTTTTTCTTTCCTTATTGTGGGTTGGATTTCCTCTGTTTATTTGGTGGTTTTTGGTGATGTTCGGTACATAACAAAGCTGAGAATGGTCCTGTATAATCTGATTTATTTCCTTGATTCATAATGGAATGGATGAAAAATTTCTTCAAAATGGAATGGATGGTCCTCATTTCTTCAAAATGGAATAGATGAAATTTTATTTCCCTTCATTTCTTCAAAATGGAATAGATGAAAATTTTATTTCCCTCCCTCTCCTCTGCCCTTTTTCTTCTATCCTCTTTCTGTCTCTACCCTCACCTACTCCAACATCTTCGTATTTCCAGCTCTCTTTCAAACCTTTTCTCTCTGTCTATACCCTCACCTACTCCAACATCATTCGTATCTCTAGTTCTCTTTCAAACCTTTTCTTCATTTGCAACGAGAGATAAAGAGAGAAAAAGGTTAAGCAAGGGTAAAGTATGCAAGAAGAGCAATTATAGAGAGAAAGGGCTTGTTGTTTGAACTTTTCATAGAGAGAAAGAATTGGGATCAATTCTGAATTTATGGGTTTTTTAGATTGATTGAAGAAAGAATTGGGATCAATTCTGATTTCATGGGTTTTTTAGATTGATTGAAGAGTTGGCTACAGTGAGAAAGACCTTACTTATCAATAGATCCTGTTGTGGCAGTAATATGTATTTTTCTCTCTAGAACTTTGTTGATTGTAGATTGATGTGTGATTTGGTCACAGTATAGAGAGAAATTCGAGGACATGTTTACTTTGACAATTTAAGAGAACCGTTGTTGTAGGGGAAGGTGAGACAGAAATTCAGGACCTTTTAAATGGATGATTGAAGAGGAGTGTAGCAGTTTAGAAAGACTACGGTGGATTTGATTTGCTAATTTGAAGTTGTGAGCTTAGAAATTGTTTTTCTCTGTGTAAGATCATCAAGAAAAAAAAAAAAAGGGAAAAAAAAGAAGGGAGAAAACGTTAAGAGGCAAAGAAGGCCTCCTGATGGCCTCTCTTCATGCTCACTAATGGAGGATCTCTCTCTCGCTTTGGACAACCTCCCTCTCCAAAAAAGTGTAGAGAATGTTGATGCATCCATACTGTCCTTTGATATCTTTTATGATATTTGGACCATCATTTTTCTTGAAGTTGGGTTTGAATTGCTGAAATTGCTCGGAAGCTCACTTCAAATCAACTTGAAAGCCCATTGTTTGCCTGGAGTTCACCCAACATATGGTTGTTGCTTGACTTGTGTTCATTTGATCCATGAGAGCTTAGAAAGTTTGAGTGTATGTGATAGTATGGCTAGACTTATTCAAATTATGTCATTTGGTCATGTTATAAATCAGTGGTATGTTACAACAATACTATGGGTTGACATGCTCCTGTTGCATTCAATTTATGGAGAATGCTTGACTTATGTTCACTAGACTTCTTCTCGCACATCATATCAATGAAATACATAATTAACGCCACCTAAACTTGTGAGCCTTCCTCCCATCTCATCACTCTCCACCTTCATGCCACTCTTTCTCTCTCTCTCTTTCTAACCCATGAGCTCATCCCATCACGCCTCTCTCTCTCTGCAAATCGCAATTAGAGTTTACCCTGCAACTCTTACTGGGAATCTCAAGCTGCAGCCTTAGAAGAACGAAGGTGTTCATCTTCATCTATTTTCCCAGCATTTTAGGAAGGTGTTCATCTTATGTTAGTTTATTTGCCTTATATATATATTTTTGAATTTTTGAAGTTATAACTCTAATGCGAGGACTCAAGAGCCTCACATGACTAGGGTTTCTTACCAAAAGGGCTATGCATATGTTGAACATTCTTCATCACTAACCAAGCCTCTATGGGGCAGATATAAAATTTTGACATTCTTTTCTATTAATGAACTGCATCCATTCAATTACCTTAAAATATTATGCAGGGTATTTGTTATCAATGGACTTAATGTTTTGATGATCTCATGATTGTGAATTTTGTTCCTTTTCTTGAGGTAAGAAGGCTTGTTTTATTATACATTTCAATGTTGTTCCTTCTCTTGACATTCTTTTCTAACCAAAACCTTGACAATCTAGTGATGATCTATAAAAGAAATTTTGTATTGATTTTTCCATATCCATCAGGATTTGATGTACTTAGTTGATTTGTCCCCAAATCAAATAGGTTGGAGGGAATTTCACTTTATTATAAGCATTAATTTGAGGGAAGAGGACTAAGAAAAATTTAAGATCCCTACACTTAGGGAGGGGTCATCTATCCACTGCTTAGGTCGAAGATAATGTTTTAGAATGATGCTTGGTGCTGGGATACCTCGGTTTCAAAGACATGAAACATGTTACACTAGCGACAGTAATTCCCTCAAATTGTAATGCACACAAACACTTAACATTTGATTTTAATAGTTGGATCGACTAGCCTTTCATTTTATTCATTTCTAAATGGGTTGATTCTTGATTAGAATATCAAATGTCTTTTTTTTTTTTCCGAGTCTCTTTGGAATATCATATGTTTCCATCACATTTATCAAACATTCTTCAGTTTCCTGCTTAGTATTTTTAACGTGCTTTGCTTCTTAAGTATGTCTGCTGTCTTTCCCTTGTTATTTGGGTCGTATTTGCATGACATCTCTTCTAATTTTATGATTTGAGTTTTTGCTTGTCTTGGCAAATTTTTCTGGGGTGAATATGGGTATTTGGACAATCAAACAAGGTTTATGTACGTTAATACATGGAACCTACACAAACATGTATATACACAAGCATATTATCAATAACATGGACATATATGGTATATTCTTTTGTTCTGCACTTGCAATCATTCCTATCGTGCAAATAGAGGGAGGCCATAGTATGATACGTTATCGGTTTTGAGTAAGACAGTTTTCTCTATCTAGAATTGCGACGGTGTTTGCTTATGTTGTAATTTTGAGATATCGGTTTTGAGTAAGACAGATTTCTCTATCTAGCATTGCGACGGTGTTTGCTTATGTTGTAATTTTGAGATAACTCTGATTGGAATTTTTTTTTAAATAAAAATTTTGATTAGAAGTTATGGATATGGACAAATTGGTGGGCATGGTGGGCATGGTGTTCCTTTGTACCATGTAAAAGATATCTGACTTATGTAACAAAGTATGATTCTGTCTACTAAATCGATTAAAAAAACTAATTATAGCATGGCCTATGAATGCGCTTATTATATATTTTTCTATAGCAAGTGTGTGAATCATAGAACATACTCATATTAGGCATATCTAAATAGATATTAACAAAATATTAAAAAAATAATAATATTAATTATAAAGTTGGCAAAATATTTAGAAGGGAAATTCATGAAGTTATGAACTTCATGAATAAGTTAAAATCTTACCCATATATTTTGTTTTAATTTAAAAATACCCATAAAAATAAACATCATCCTGAGTTGGAATAGTGACAATTGGCAATAACGTTAAATAATTAATCTCTCATAGGTATTTTGATAATTTCCCTTGGTAGAATGATATTCTGAGAAATGCATCTTCTAGACCAGCCAAACAGTGTATATGCATCTTACATGTTGCATCCAGATGCTATCCAAACAGCATCCAGTCAGCTTCCCAGTCATGGGGCATTCTCAGGAGATACATGGAGCAGAATTTCAGTGCATTTCCAGGAAATGCATCTGAAGGCTGCCAAAGTGGCCCATATTGTAGGGTGTTGGTATTTTCTTGAGAGAGAGCACTTGTTTCTTAGCAGACTGCTAAATTTGCATTATTGCATCATCTAAGGGCTTTTAATGGGAACCATTGGTGAGGTCTATAGGTTTTGTTCATGATTATGTTCAAGATATTCTGACCTAGAGAGGGAGGGGAAAGGGATGGAGGGAGGTGTTTTTAATTTCAAGATTCTAATTTCTTCAATCTCATTATTGATATTTTCAGGGTTTTCGATGATATCTAAGGCTTGTTTGTGATTGAACCACAACTATTTTGTAAGTTTACTTCCCGAATCTATCTTTTGTTAATTGCTCATTTTTGCTAGTAAATCATATTATCCACGTGAAAATGAGCAGTCAATAAAAACCTCTGTGAAGTTCCCTTTAAGATATCTGGAGTAGACAAAGTTAACTTTCTCAAAAAAAAAGGATATCTGGAGTGGACTTGCAAGTGTTTTTCCCTTTTTTTGTTTGTGCAGTTCTTTCGGATGTTGGAAAATATCAGATTGACTATAGGAAGGTTGAAATGTCATAGTGTATGGACACAGCATTTTATCCATTGGAAGTTCCAATGTTCAATTCATGATCTTAAAATCGGAGTTTGGTAAATACATTTTACTGGTGGAAGGTTCCATCATCAAATCAAGGGTTAATCTTATTGAGTTCACGGTATATTGATCAGTGAGCTATGGTTAATATTAGGAGTTCTTATATCAAGCTTTTACTATTTCATTTGGTTTATATTTTAGAAAGATGTATCGCTATGTATTTGTATCAGTATTGATCTTTGTTTTGAGGATTAGTTTTATGAAAATCTACGTTTTTCTGTATTCTTGGGGTTTTCTTCCTTTGCCTTCAGGTATCACTTAAATTTATTGTTATGGGTTTCTAGCTCTTCAAATTACAACACATCTTATGCAATTGCATCTTTTTTTTACACTAATAAAAAAATCATGTCTACTTTTTGATTTATTAATTTCCATTTCTGTTTTTTCTCATTGCTCTTTGAGAGAAACCACGAGTGACCTAAATTAGTCCATTCTCTATGTTGATATGGGAAAGTATGTATTGTTTAATGCTGCCTAGTATTCATTTTTTATTTCTTACATCCTAATTATTTTTTGTTATGCTATTTGTGAAACTATGAAGCCTTGTATTTATTAGTATTAGCTTTATTGCTCATTTACTTCAGAGTTCAGACATGTGAGACTCTTTTGTTTATAAAGTATATATGTGTTGAATATTGTATTCATTAGGAATTTTGTGTTTATCGCATTCTAAATATTCAGTTATATCTACGGTGGGTCTTTTCTTCTTTTTCTTTTTAATTTATGCTATTTGTTTTCCTTTTCTAAATCCAATAATAGGCTTCTTAATCAGTCCATCGTTTTCTACCATTTATAGAAGAATGTTTATTTTAGGAGAGTTTTGATGTTGACTATCATTTTCTACCATTTATAGAAGAATGTTTATTTTAGGAGAGTTTTGATGTTGACTATTGTTGAAATTCCACTCATAATTTACGGCTCCATATTTTTGTTTCTTTTCTGTCCAAATGTCAGATGTTCATAATTCTATTTGGGTTTTTCCTCCACTCTTAAAAACTTTAAGAAACAAGACAAAATGATTGGGGATGACACTTTATTTGATTTTCCAAGCCACTTTGTTATTGTTGACGGCCTAAACCTACCTAGCAATATGGGTTTGCGGTTATTGTAAAATTCAAGAATCTTTGGGGAGGACTTCATCGTAGACATTATCTAGTGCTGGAATTGAAACCCATGCCTGTGATGCTTCTTTCAGAGCCTGAATTGATGCTTTATTTCTCGCATTTCAGTAAACATGCTCTTAAGGCGTTGTGTCTGCATCATGCAAACCTTTTTGTCTTGGGATCCATTCATGACAGCATATTTCCATCATTTTCATTAGTTGTTATCAATGAATGAAAATTCGGCCGCCTTGCCGCCTAGGCGGTCTTTTTCCAAAAACACCTAGTCGTGGGCAAGGCGGCTTACTCTAGGCGGATCCATCTAGGCGCCCAAGGCAACCGCCTAGGCGGCATAAAAGGTGGGCACCTAGGCGCCGCCTCGACTATTGACAGAAAATGTCATATGGGAAATGCGTAAAATCGTCATTTTACCCCCTTAAAAGGGAGGAATAGGGTTTTGGGGGCCATTCTTGTGCCCAAAAACATTTTTAGTGAAGTTTTGAGTGAGAAACTTGAGAAAAAACTAGATTTGTAGATTCGTTGAGAGATCAAAATATTTTTCAACCTCATCGAATGGGCACGAAAGTAAAGGATATTCATCCCCAATCTTTAGGCTTCTAGTGGGTGTAAAAGAAGAGATTTGGGAACTAAAGCATTTTGTTTTGGCCCAATATCGAATCCACTTCAAGAAGGTTGGTATACTTCACTGGTTTTTATTAGGTTATGTATTTTTTTTTCCACAATATCTAATGATGTTATTTGTTGCTATTCGTATCTTTTTGTGATACTTTGTGATATATATTTGATATGTTATTTTCTATTTGGATTTTATTTTCCCATTTTGATATGTAGTTTGGGTCTTTGGGAAAACAATTCAATAAAAAAGTCCATTGCCCCTAAACCGAATGAATATTGTTTTTACTTCTTTTTTTTTAAATTTTATACATGAATTTACTTGTATGATTCATAAACCATAACTTTTATCCCTATAATTCTAATTTGACGTTTCAAATATTTAGACTAGTAGTTGTAAATTAATCTTGCTTTTGTGTATGTATTTACAATTTTCACTTCTTGTAAATATTTTCAAGTTTTGAAATTGTTGTTTTCGTGTAATTTCAGGCTTAGGTGATAAGTTGATACGATAGATAAAGGTTGTAGGTGAAATGTCTTTCTCATCTTCAAGTCTAAAGCCGTAAATGTTTGGTATACTTCAATAGATTTTATTAGGTTTTGTATTTTTTTCCACAATGTCTAATGATGTTATTCTTTGCTATTGGTATCTTTTTGTGATACTTTGTGATATATATTTGATATGTTATTGTCTATTTGGATTATTATTTTCCAATTTGGATATGTAGTTTGGGTCTTTGGGAAAACAAATCATAACAAAGTCCATTGCCCCCAAACCAAATAAATATTGTTTTTTACTCCTTTTTTTAAAAAAATTTATACATGAATTTACTTGTATGATTCATAGACCATGACTTTTATCCCCAAAATTCTAATTTGACATTTGAAATATTTAGACTAGTAGTTGTAAATTAATCTTGTTTTTGTGCATGTATTTACAATTTTCGCTTCTTGTAAATATTTTCAAGTTCGAATTTGTTGTTTTTTGTAATCTTCAGGCTTAAGTGATAAGTTGATACTTGATAGATAAAGATTGTAGGTGAAATGTCTTCCTCGTCTTCATGTCTAAGCCGTAAATGCTTATCTTTGATCTGTACTTCCGACATCTTAACTATATATTGTATACAAAACTTATTAAAATAAAAAAAACACAATTCTATAGTCAATAAAGTGGGGGGTCCAAGTTTTAAAAAAAGTCAACACATGCCGCCTTTATGTCTAGGTGCCTGCCTGCCTAGGCGGCCCAGACCCCAAACTGCCTAGGCGGGCACCTCCGCATTTTTGAACATAGGTTGTCATTTTTCTCCGTAGTGGCAACATTCCTTGTATCTTGTTTTACAAAGAGCTCAATATTTCTTCAAAGTGAAATACTTTTTGTTAATTAGTTGTGAACTAACCTTTAAATCAAATAGTTGTCCCACACGATGCGCATTTACTTTCGTAATTGCAATTTGTGCTATGTTATTGAATAGAGCTGGCCCATGCTGTGGCTTATCGTCTTAGATATGTGGGTTATATTATTTTGGCGACAAGTAGCACTGCCATAAGCCTTTCATATGGCATTGGTTGTTTAATCCATTTATAATTTGATGGATATGCCTGAAGTAGAATTGAGAATCTCTGTTCTCCAAATTATTGCTCGAATACCTAAAGTGCATATTCATTGGGGTGTTGCAACTGGAAGATTGCTGCAATTACGTCTACAGTTGACTCATTGTGGTTCTAGACTTAAGACATTTTCACTATAAATGATCATAGGAAATAACTCAATATATACATTACTATAATGCGTGGTGCGTATGTCACACTTTGTCGTTCTTTCCACTGTGCAATAGGTTCCTATAATAGGGTCAAACTACACATGGCATGTACCGGGTTATTTAAGAATATTTTTAAATCATCTTCCCGTTTACTATAGGAATCCCAATAATAAGCAGGCTATCGAAAATTATAATCCTGATAGCTCATTTGGGATGTGTATTGAGCAAAGGAGTTAATGGGTATCAGTGCTGGGGCATTTTTGTGTGCCATTCTATAATTAAAAGCATATGAACCCCAGCTTAGAAAGAATGCAAAATGCTGCTTCTAGTGGTGTTTTGCATAGACATCGCAATTTGATTTGGTGTTCTCAAACCGACATTGTTAACCTCCAACACCATCTCACGCAAGATGTACGAGAATGGAATCCTTTTCCAAATGAAGCATAAATTTACCCCAGATTTTAGAATCGAAAATATACTGTTTAGTGAAGCTGCCGCATGTTATATTTTCACATTATCTCTCCTCACATCGAATTATTTTACAACAAATATTTTGGATCAAAACATGGAAAGTAAACTTAGGTGGGCTGGTCATGTACAACACGTAGATCTAATACGACACCAGTTAGGAGGAGGGACTTGGTTCAAGTGGAAGGGTCTAAAAGGGCAAGGAGAAGGCCCAAAATATGGATGGAAGTGGTGAGAAGAGATGTGATAATGTATAGTCTGACTGAGGGTATGACCCTTTGGGCCTGTTTGATAACTGGAAGCAAGTTCATGAACTGTGAATTGGAAGTTCCTCCTTGCTGCGAAGATAGAAGTTACTGTAAGAAGTTCCTGGTTTATGTGTTTGATAACCTCCTGGGAAGTTAAAGAAGTTTTTGGTTTCTGTGTTTGATAACATGCTGGAAGATTAGCAAGTGATAGTGAAAATTGCAAAATGTAGAGCACAGGTTTCCCATAACAATCATTCAAGCCCTAAAATGACAATAGAGAGTAAATGAAAAACTCCCAAAAAAGTTAAAAACAAGTACTTCAATAAATCTCACGCCATAAACTATCCATTCCTTTAGTTGTCAATATCAGATCAAATATACCAAATTTTGGCAAAAAAACAACCTAGAGCAAAACAGATGATATAGATTGTGATGAATATAATCACTTAGACCCATCTAGCAAGAAAGAAAAAAGACAGATCTTAGACACATTCAAATTGCACCTTTGACCCATCTAGCAAGACAGAAAAGACAGATCTTGGACATCCACTACTCAACAATCTGAAAAAAAAGAAAGGACCAATTTTTGTCCAAATGACTACATTTTCATGTTGAGAAAGCCTTCACAAAAAAGAAAAAATTCCACATCAGATTGTGGCGATCTTTAATGTTCATCGATGCAGTAATTAGAAAGACTCCATTCACAATTAAAAAATTGTATGTTTAGTGCATCTAGCAAGAGATTGAAAAGCAAGCCTGCTTAGGCATCCATTCAAATATCCAAAGAAAGACTAACAATTTCATCTAAAAATCCACATTTTCATAAGAAAATAATCTCATAGACATCCATTCATAAAATATCTGAAAAAAAAAATGTCTGAAAAAAGCAAGATGCCATTAAGAAGGTGTTCTCATAGACAACAGTAAAAAAACCCAATTCAGTTGGGTGAGGAGGAGAATAAAGTCTGCAGGGTTAGTAAACTTCCTTTGAAACCCTAAAATGTTAATAAAAAAGAAAAACCACATTTCATTCACAAATTCTTCTTGAAATTTAATATGTTGGTACTCAAAAGGAAAAGAAAAAAAGAAATATGTGAAGAAAATGCACTATTTTTTACTAACAGTCCCCTGTCCTTACAATCCTAGAAGTTCAAGACTCATTCATAGCATTAAAACTCTAATAACTCTCAAACTGGTACTCTATTTTCAGAACTAAACAAAAAAAAAGAAGTAAAAGAAAACAAAAGAGATAGAGATAATGAAAAGAAAATCAGAAAATGCAATATACATCATTAATTTAATCTTTGAAACCCTACAAGATAAAGCACACTCCAAAACCAATGATTCTAATAATTTTCAACATTTGGGTGTTATTGTCCACGAGAGAAGCCCCAAAATGCCCAATAAAAGAAACCAGAAAAGTATTCTACCATATCTCTAAACATAACTTTAAAATCAGAAGATGCATCTTTTCTCCATTAATGATTTAATCTTTGAAACCCTGCAAGATAAAGCACCCCCAAAACTAATGATTCTAATAATTTTCAACATTTTATTGTCCACAAAAGAACCCCTAAAATGCCCAATAATGAAATTTCTGGTTTTAGGGGAAATTTTTAGGGGAAAAAGAAAGGTACCTGATGAAGAGGAGTTAGAGAGAGAGGGAGAGGGAGAGAGAGGAAGAGGGGTTAGAGAGAGAGAGAAGTACCTGATGAGGAGGAACAGTTGCGGAAGAGGCGGAGGTGGAGGCATGGAGGAGCAGTCGTGGAGGAAGCGGAGGCATGGAATGCAATGGCATGAGGGTGCTAAAGAAGCGAGAGGGTGAGGTAGGGATGGAGTTCCTTTTTAAGTTCCGTGGTTTTCCACGGAACTTTTTTAAAGCGTAAAAGTGGGAAGAGCTACAGTATAAAGAACTTCTTTAAATATCTTTGCATTTTTTTATCAAACACAAAACATGAATAGTAACACGTAAGTTCCATCGTTTGGGAACTAACTTCCAGTTATCAAACACGCCCTTAATAGAGCAGAATGATGGAATGAGCTTCATGTAGCCGACCCCAAATAGTTGGGACAAGGCTCGGATGATAATGATAACGATGATTTTAGATCACAACATCATTATCCTTCCATAGTTCGTGACATTTTTTCCTCATTTCTCGGTTCCATAAAAGTGTTGAGGTATAGCTCATTTCATGCTTGGATTGCATAAATAAATGTGGCTCATTAAGAACATCACTTCCCATGAATCAAGGTAATAACTAATAAGTATGACTATTTTATACATCTAGTAACTATTTAGTACACTTGGAATTTGGCATTCATTTCAATTTGTCATTGATGGGTGATTTCTATTTTTTCCCTTTAAAGATTTGAGTATTGGATCTAATGTATGAAACTTATCTCTGCAGTGAATTTGTATTCGTCACGCTTTAGTAAGGATGTGATAGAATCCTAAAGTCCTAGTAGATAACATTTCCTATTAAAGTTTAATAAGTTCTTAGTACATCCTTCTATAACATTGATAACCTCAAGAATTAGGGCTTCTTTTACTTAAAAGTCCAGAACATCTATTAGAGATTGATTGTCATACTGAGGTGTCCCAATCTCTATATTTCTAGCACACAAATATACATGCACTAACCCATGCATTACATGGGTTGAGAACTAGTAAAATATATGTGCAACTGGCTAGCTGATGCAAACAATTACTTATGCAAATAACTTGCCATAAACAACTTTCTGCAAGGCCTAAAGTTCACTGTTGGGGCTGAATGAATGATTCACAATGAACATAAGATTGTAAAAATATTTGGCTGTCCAATTTGTGAACCAAGGAAAGCATATTTCTTATGACTTGAGCTTTATTACTCAACTCTTGGGAGCAACTTGGATGAAATTGTGGGAGGTGGTCCTGAGTGTTGATGCATGCATGGTTATTTTATGGGATTAATGTTCTCTTTTGTGCATAAGGTCATATTTGTAATTATTATTGCCATATTGTAGTTGTTATTTTTAGGGCTTTAATTTGATAAAAGAAATACTTTTCCTAATTGGTTTCATTGTCATGGTATCTAATCCCTCTTTCCCAAACAAATAAG